GACTAAATAATCACAGACACTTTAACTTTTAACGGTACTACCCAGTGGGCAAGGGACTTAAAAAAAGACGTTTTTTGAACGTCTATTAAACGTATCGAACGTCTTTTGAACGTCTTTTGAACGTTTTAGACGTCTTTTAAACGTTCAAAAAACTTATTTTTTTGGTCCAGTGCCTACTGTGTAGTTTTTTCCATAAATTGTAAAGTCACAAATTTATTTGTAGAGCTGTTTTTGTGTATATCTTGATTACTCAATAGAGTTTAATTTTCATTTGCATAGAGTAGCTTTGAATTCAGTCCAAATTACATATATATGCAATTCTGACATATATTTATGTATATTTAAATAAATTCAAGTTTTTTAATTAAATTTTTTTTTTCAATGTTTTTCTTACAAAATGATTATTATTTTTGAAAATTTTATTTAATATCACTTCATTTGAGACCTATTTTTCAAAATAAATATTACGGAATATATATATATATATATATATATATATATATATATATATATATATATATATATATAGTCCCTCCAACTTTTTTTTAAAAAAACCTTGAGATTCATAAAAAATTCTTTGAGATTTACTCAAAAACTTGGATCCACATTAAATTTTTTTAAAAAGTACTTCTTTTTATACAAGAAAAATTGAAAAAGTACAATAGGTTATATTTAGTAAATAAATAACTCATTTTTATTAATTAATGTTTCATTCGTTGAGTTTTTTAACAGATGATCAGGCATTTCTTTTTTACAATGTATCCCAAATACTTTTAATAAACGTTTTTAAATTGCTGAAAAAATTAGTCTATATTTAATAATAATCATTAAAATTATTATACAATAAAAATTTAATCAAAAATCTTATCAGGTACATTAGCCTCTTCAAAAGAAGAGGCTAAGGCACTTGATATTATTAAAATCATTGCCCTGGGTTTTCTGAATACCATGTTAAGCTAAATTTGTTTTTATATTTTTGCTTTACCGCTATTTTTAAAAATTCGTATTTGATTTTTAATATAAATAAACCCAAGTTTAAAGGTATAAGTTAGTACCGGTTTTATGATCTACCTTAATTTTGCACTTAATTTTGATAAGTTCTTGATGTAACGACAACTAGTTTTGGGATTTATATAGTTTTAAGCGAGAATAAATTTGAAAACAAAACTGGATTAACCCTGAGATTTGCTATGAAACCGTGTTAAAGTACCTAAGAGTTAAATAATGTGTTATTTAACTCTTAGGTACCTTAATTAACAATAGGTTATTTTAATTTATAAGTTTATTTATTACTATATTAAAAAGAACATAAATAAATTATATATTATGTAAATATGTAATTTATATTTCTATGATACCCACTATCTTAATTTACAAATAAATTTTCCTCCATATATTTTTATTGTACCTAAGTAGCAGCAACTGCGCTTTATATTTGTGGCGTATTGTAAGTAAGATATCAGCGGCCCACCAGGGCTTTCCTCGGCATCCAGATGGACAAGTATATATATATATATATATATATATATATATATATATATATATATATATATATATATATATATATATATATATATATATATATATATATATATATATATATATATAAATGTACTAGTTCCATAAGATGGTAAGATTGGACGATTTTATATTTAATATATTTATATCAAATAGTAAAAGTCTAAATTATTATATCAGCGCTCGAAATAATGGCCGATCGGCTATTTTTAGGGAAATTTCGAAAAATTCAAGAGAAAATAACTTGCTTTTTTTTTAAAAAAAAATTTGATCGGTAAGCTTTGAAAAACTATTTCGAGCGCTGCTATATTAATAAATATCTATAATGGAGTTTTACATATTCTATATAAAAAAAATCATTCTGCAAAGGTTCTGGAAAAAAAATTCTGCAAAAAATTACTCTGTTAAGAAGGTTAATTTAAGCAACCTCTTCTAAAATTTAAAAATTCTCACCATTCAAACTGCTGTATCTTGATAAAAACTTACATAACTTTTTAAGTAAGGAATTTTAGATTTGATATTAAAAATTGGTTTTTAAACGATTTTAATAAGTGTTGAAAATATTTTTTTTTTTTTTAAAGTTGCAGTGTCTTCTTATTTAAAAAATTGCGTTCATCATAGGTATACAGCTCTTGTTTTAAATTTGTTAAAACCTTCAAAACTTTCAAAATTACAATTTTGTTTATGTAAGAAAAAAATTGATTGCAGATTTATTTATAATAAAAAGACTTTTTAAACTTAATTTGTTTGAATGTTGTTAAAAGTAATGTTGCTTTGCAGTAACGTTTCTTATATTAAGAAAAAAAAAAGTTTAAATAACAAAACTTAAGTCAGTGTAAGAGGTTCCTATCGTATATTCTGTGGCGTAAAAATCAAGATAATGTTTTGTCACGTAAAAATTAAATATCTTTGTCACAAAATAACAGTCTGTGAATTAACTTGGGAATAATTTAATACGATCAAGTTTTTTAAGTACTAAGTGTACTTAGTACATAAAAGCTGTACATTTATATATGTACATTTTTTGTTGATTAGCCTTAAAGTAATTAACCCAAAAGGAAGCAATGGCATATATGTTTTAGGCAATGAAAATAACTAAAAAAATCATAAATAATTTCTTTTTATGTTAGCTATATTAAACGAGATAAAGGCACTTTAGTTTAGGGGTGGCATATCAGGAAGTATTTTTGTAAGAGCATGCATCGGTGGAAACAACTTATTTAAACTGGGGAGTAGTGTTGTTATAGTAGGGGAGCAAACATTCTGTCACCTAATAATAATATCTCTTGAGATGTCGAAATAATAATTGAATAATAAATGCAGCCGTGACTCAGTGGTCATATTTCTTGCTCAGAACCAAGGTTCAAGGTTTGACGCTGGCTCTAACCTAATAAGCGATATTGGTAAGAAAACTGGGCGTGAACTTTCTAGTTAAATGCTTTTCCGTGGTCTGTGATAAAACCGTAAGGACCTTTGATAGGACCTTAATAACCGCTACAATTTTTTTTGCCACTTTTATAGGTAATTTGATGCTTATAGTGTGAAAACAAAGCAATTCAGTACAATAACTTTTGTTTTAGGATATATCTTTTTAAAGCATTTTGACATATTAACTTAAAGTTAATCTAAATTAGACTAAACTGGATTTGCATCAAGTTTAGGATATTTAAAGTTTGACCATGTGATAAGAAATCTTTAAATAGTAGATTTTGTTGTTTTAAATAACCAGAAAATAAATTTAAAGAAAAAACAAGTCTAAGCCATTGTAAAAACATAAATAGTTTGTTAATCAATTTTGACTTCAGGATCAATTTTAAATTCTGGTAAATATGGAGTTGAGAAAAACTCTTCAGGTAACTTTTCTTCAGAAAAAAGAAAAGAATGAACTGCATAAGCAAATAAACAAAAATAATAAAGTTCATAATAAAAACTAAAGACGCGTTTAAGTACTTGTCTTTAATCAATGTCTTAAGACAGTATAGGACTTCTTTTTGGTGGACTTTCTTCTATTCATTAGCACTATTTATATTTTTTTGCAAATTATAAATACTTTTTGTAAATACTTATATATAGCAAAAAAATGAATCTTTTTTTTTAAATTGCAAATAAAAAGTTTTTAAATAAATCTATGTTACTCAGAACAAGTTTACTCAAATAAAATCAACATTACTCAGTTTAAAGTAATGTTGTTCTTTTAAGTTGCTTACGTTTTTTTAAATTACTTTAATTTTTTAATTACTTTACTTGATTTTTATCCTAGGATAAAAATTAAGTAAAGTAATTAAAAATTTGGTATAATATGCATATACAGGTTTTAATTGAGAAAATAAAGCTCGATATCTTGATGTTTTGGTATACGCATGCTCGATATACCGATGTTTAGGTATACGCCTGGATCGAGACGAACGTCACGATCTAGGCGTATACCAAAACACATTGATTTCACGGACAGTTTTACTGGAGTTTTACACGTCTTATTAGGTTTTATAGGCGAATGTCAAAACATCGCGTGCTTTTATTACTGGTTTCACATTTGTTCGTAAGCTTACTACAATATTATATTACGTTTCAGTAGCGGTGAAACCATTAATCCCTTAATTTGTACTTTGATAAATAGTAAAAGGTAATTTTACAGAATTGAAGTCCTAAATTTGACACGCCTTATTTTTTCGTTTTTTTTTTGTTTTAAAGGGTTTTAAACACTCAACAGAAACAAATTAAACGTAAAAAACGTACTTTTTACTGAGTTGTGCCGCCTGTCCTAAATTTGACACGCCTTATTTTTTTGTTTTTTTTGTTTTGCTTTAAAGGGTTTTAAACAATCAACAGAAACAAATTAAACGTAAAAAACGTACTTTTTACTGAGTTGTGCCGCCTGCCCAGTGGACACGGACGAAAAAAAGACGTCTTTTAAACGTCTTATACACGTTTTGGACGTCTTTTGGACGCCTTTTGAAATTTTTGGACGTCTTTGGAACGTTCAAAAGACGTCTTTTTTTGATCCGGTGCCCACTGGGTGGGATTGCAAGCCGATGAAAATTTATAATTAAATACACTTTTGCAGTTGTTGTTAGTCCAGCGCTTTAAAATTTTCTTAACTCAAAAATAAATTTTCCTTAACAGAAAATTTTATTTTTTGTTTATCTTTTATATTTATATATTCTATATACTTTTATAAAGTAAGTTTTAAATAGGGTAAAGCAATAAAAGGAACCATACCTAATCGTGTTTGATCTATTGTTACTATCTACGTGTACATAGCAAATATTTTAAAATAAAATCATAATCATTTACATGCTAATCATTAGCACCTATTATCACTATCAACTGTTTAATTGCTTATAATTAGCAACTATTATCATTATTATAAACTGTTTCCGTGCTTATCATTAGCAACCATTATCATTATCAACTGTTTACATACTTATCATTGGCAACCTTACCATGAATCCTATTTATTATATTAAATAGATAAAACAAAATTTTGAAAATTTGATACTTTTTATTAATTATTTAAAAACCTATATTATTTGAATTACTTTATCAGCTGGCCTATTTATTGTTTCATCGTCTCCTGGTTGAAAAATATCATTTATATCGTTCATATCAATAAGGTTATTAAAGTCAATTGCCGTGTCAGCTTCATAATCAAATAACTTCAAATTGTTTTGCTCATCGTGTTTTGTGTGTGCTTCCGCAAATTCACTTGGATTTTCATTCTTTTTGTTCAATATCAGATTTGTATGGTGTGTATCTAAATATCCAAAAACAAAAAAATTTAAAACAGTTTAACGAAACTAAATATTATATATTTTTACAAACATATTGTTTTTATTCTGTTTTTGTTTTTTACTTTTTATATTTTTATTTCTAATTATAATACGTTTATATAAAGAACTTATAGATTTAAAAATGATTAAAAAAAGTTTTACCTTCTTCATATATTATTTTAGCTTTGTTAGCATTTAAAACAAGAATCATTAGAAGAATTTTCATTATGATAATCATTGTGTTATGGCGTCATTACGATGATGGTACACACCGACGCATGGGTGAGAAACGGAAAAATAAATGACGTATAATTGCGTTTATTTTTTTATTGCGTTAACTCAAATATTGATGTATTCAATATTAGTGTTAATAAAATAACACAAGAAAGATTGCTATGTTTCAAACAAATTAAAAAAAAAAAAAAACATTTTAATGAATAGGGGAAAGGCGCCTATGATGGCATAGCGCCTATGATGGCAATCCAGTCATATTTTCATAAAAATTGGTTATGGTGAAAAAGTGATTAGACCAACTTGTCCATACTGATTTTATATTAGTTTTATTAAAAATACGTCCCTTATGCACAAATATTGCTTTTATAATCAACAAAAATCGATTTTGGGATGTGCTGTTGTATTTTTAATCCCATTAAGTATTTAAGTTTGTGATTTTATTATTAACTGTGCAGAAATAAAATTTTAATGCATTTTATTTCCAAGTTTTGTGCATTTAGTGGAATACTTATTTTAATTTTATATTTAGAACAAGGCAGACATAGCTTGTTTAAATGAAAATGATGACTTCTTCCTATGATGGCATACTAACGAGTTAGGTGTGTTGCAATATTGACAAGTTGAGAAAACTTTTTTTTTTCCATAAAATGAAATATTCTATACTCAAGTAAAAAGGAATTTTTACTTTACATAAAATATTTGGTTATAAAAAAATAAAACTAATAAAAACTCCTATGGTTATTATTGTTCTACGTGTAACAAAGAATGCATCCATATCAAAACTTTTGTCCTTGATCTTTAGGATGCTGAATAATAAAGCTTTAAAGCTAAGTATGCCATCATAGGCGCCTTTTCCCTATGTAAAAAATGAATAATATAACCACACACACAAAATTATTTTTTTGCTTTGTTTAAAATTTCTAGAGAGATTTTTCAATAAACTATGCAATTGAGTTTTTGTCAATTCACATATTTTATTACACTATTTTTATTTTATAAATAGATTTTTACTTATAATTAAGATTTCTTATAAATATACTACTTGTAAATACGATTAATTACAAATAGATTTTTATTTTATAAATAGGTTTCTTGAATTTAAATAAAGAATTACAACGTTAACATTCCATTACAAATTTGTTTTAAAAAATGTGAGTGTTTTATAAACCTCTATTAACAGATATACCTTTAATTCGCTTGCGCAACTAATTTCTCAGCTTGAAAAAGATGCCAGTAATGACAAAAATGTAGACTAAATTAATTATTTCGCTTCTAAAGATGTCTGTTATAGCATATCGTATCCGTCTAGAATAACATATCCCCAATAAAAATCAAAAAGAAGACGCGATTTAAAGTTAGAGTTATTAATACAGACTTACTCACTATTAACTTTTTTCAGACGGTCTAAAATTAATTAGTACTAATTAATTTTAGACCGTCTGAAAAAAGTTTTTAGAAATGTTTAAAGAAGCTATATGTAGAACATGTTTTAAACATAATAGGGTATTCTAAGTACATTTGATTTTGTATGCTATACTTTATAATATTTACAATAATAATTATACTTTGTATAAGTTTTATGTCAGATGCGTTTTATGTCACAATTGTTATGCTTGAAAGATGCTAGACTTTACCAAGTTTAAATTGGATGAGACAGTTATAGTGTCTCTTCCGATATATATTCTATACATTCGGGGAATATATAATTTTAAGAAAAATCAATTTTATATACTAAATTTTACAAATTTATATGTCAGATGAGAATTTATACAAAGAGTATATGATATATATATATATATTTTTTGTTCTTATTACAATATATTCAAAGAAAAATTTATTAGTTTACAATTAGATCGTTAGAAAAAATTTACAATTAGATCGTTAAGTAAAATTTAAAACTAGATTGTTAAAAACGTCACTCAATGAGAAATAAATAAAAGATAAAACTAAGAATTTTTTGTTAATATAAAAAGAATGCGGAGACTCGCAGAAGACCATTAGGTCTTGTCATCAAGAACCGCTCGTAAATTAAAACTTCATAAAATTCAATTTATATATAAAGTCAAGTGCATATATAGTTAAGTGCATGTTCTTATAAATATTCAACTGAATAAACATAAACTAAAATAATACATCAAATTAATAACGTTTAAAAATAAAACAATATATCATCATGCGACAAAATGATTTCTTTAAGCTTATTTCTGAATGAAAAATAACTAAAAAAAATAACATTGCAGAGAAAAACTAAAATGTTTCAAAATTATTTTGTTCCAAAGAAAAGCTTCTCGAAAAGAAATACTAGATTTTCCAAAATTAGTCTGAAAAAATGGTTGACGAATTAAATTATCATTTAAATTGTATTAGTTTTTATATTTCAACGTGTATAAATTGGGGAAGAGTAAGTTTTACATTAAACAAAGACTTATAAATTTAAATTAAAAATTTATGTAAATTAAAAAATTTACATAAAACAAAGATATTTAAAACATTCAGCTGATATATATTAAGAATTTTCATTTCAAATAAAAGAGGCTAGACATGAGTAAATCTGTTTATAAAATTAATAAGAACAGCAACATGCTTCTGTTGACGATAAAGAGGCTCCAGTTTACATTTATTGGCATTGCACCAAGCAATATTTGCATAGTTTAAATGAAAATGGATAAAAGAGAAATATAATTGAATTAGACTACTTTTATTTAATACACCTCGAGCTTTATACAATATTCCAATACTTTTAGCAATTTTATCACACAAGAATTCAATGTGGTATTTCCAACTAAGGTTTTCATCAACATAGATACCAAAAAAATTAGCACTAATGACTCTTTTTATTTGGATTTTATCAAAAAAAACTAAAGGTAGTTCACAAGGAAGTAGTTTTTTTTTAGACGCTGGATGAAAAAGTGTCCATTTTTTTTTTTCAACATTTAGTGAAAGTTTATTCATTTTAAACCAATCAGATATTTTTGTTAATTCCATGTTCTTATCTTGAAATAATGTAGTTATGCTATTATCAGACAAAAAGAGGTTAGTGTCATCGGCAAACATAACTGACATCAAGTTAAAAGCTTTGTGAAGATTATTAATATAAATGAGAAAGGATCCTAATATCGAGCCCTGCGGAACCCCACAGGTTACGTTTAATAAATTAGATGGGTTAACTTCATTACTATAAACAAACTGTTTGCGGTTACTTAAGCAACTTTAAAGTAACTTTAAAACATTACCTTTAATTCCATAAGATTTAACTTTTTTAAGGAGGATTTGGTGATCGATTGTATCAAAAGCTTTTGATTAATCTATGAAAACTCCCAACCTATATTGGGAATTTTCAAACGATTCAGAAACACTACGAGTTATATGGAGTATCACGTGTTCTGTTGATGTATTTTTTTTGAACCCGTATTGATTAGTATAGAGTATATTATTTAAAGAAAGGTGATTATAAATTACGTTATATAGGATTCTCTCTAACACTTTAGAAAAAACAGGTAAAATAGAGATTGGGCAATAATTTGTAAGATTTGTAGTATCACCTTCTTTGAAAATTGGTGTGACTTTGGCTATTTTAAGATGGTCTGGAAATATTCCCTGTTTTATTGAACAGTGTAAAACTTTAAATAATACATCTTTAAAATGTTCATACGAGTCAATGACCACATTACTATATATACCGTCGTGACCGACAGATTTATTAGACTTTAGCATTTTAAAAGATTGCTTAAATTCTTCAAAAGATAATTCAAAGGAAGATAGAGGCGAAGTTTACGGAAAATTGAAGTTATCTATGTTATTTATCACAAAAGAAATTTTTTTTGCAAGATTTGGGCCAACTGACACAAAGAATTTATTAAATTCATTACATATCATTGTTGGATTGGACAAAAATTCATCATTAATTTTTAAGATTACAGGCTGTGCGCATGTTTTTGTTTTTTGCATGCCAGTAACTTCTCTTAGAATTTCCCAGGTGCATTTAGAATTATGTTTGTTCATTTCAAGTAGATTGGAGTAGTATAGTTTTTTTAAATTCTTTCTTTGATTTTCAAACTTTCTGATATAATTTTTGTAAAAAATCTTACTTTCTTGCGTTTTTGTTTTCAAGTATTTAATATATAATTTTTTCATAATTTTATAACATTTTCTGAGATCTTTTGTGATCCATGGTGACATTAAACCTCTATTTTTTTAAATTACAGTACATTTTGGAAAATTTACGTCGTATATTAACTGTTCTTTAAATGGATTTAAATTCGCTGAAGTAAAAAAGCGTTTTGTAAACGTTACATTCTGTTGGGGTATTTTTGCTGTGGCAATGTTAATTGAGAAAAAAATTGGGAAGTGATCAGACATGTCACATTTAATAATACCTTTTTTAAGAGATTTAAAAATATCAGTTGAAATGATATTGTCTATTAAGGTAACTGATGTCTCAGTTATTCTAGTTGGTTTATTAATTAACGGAAACGCTCTATGTTCAAATAAATCATTATAAAAATTTTTAATACCACATATATTCTAATATACAAACTATAATATTAGATATTCAAATATACAAACTAACTGCAACTATACCAACACCATCATTTGTTGCTGCAACAAAAGATGGTGTTGCTGTTGTGATAAAATTTGGCAACTTATCATGAATAATTAATCAACTATGCTATTCACACGCAATCCACTTAGCAGTTACTGATGTATTATATCAATGCGGAGAAATTGTTGGAGGAATCGGAAATTTATATGTTTAATGAAGCTCAATATCCTAAACTTTTGAAACTTCATAAAGCCTCGGAACCCATTTATTTAAAAGTTAAAGATTTCTTTTCTAGCCTTAGAGAAACAAAATGCCACATTATGGTATTTTGATTTCTATTAAATGAACTGAAAAAGTTAAAGTCTAAAATAAGTTTTAAATTATTATAGACTTTAGAAGGACAAAAAAAAATTGAATTATCAATTCTTTTACTGTATTTTCAAAATCCTGAAAACATTTCCGGGTCAACAAAGAAATCTAGTGCACAGTCCCTTTAGTTTCAAAAACCGACATTACTAAATTGTTTGA